GTGAGGAGTTCGATACCAGCAGCCTGACCAACAAGGTGAAACCCTGTCTCTACTAAATATACAAAACTTAATTGGTGTGGCGGGCACCTGTAATCCCAGCTACTAGGGGTGCCGAGGCATGAGTATCAGTTAAATTCGGGAGGCAGAGGTTACAGTGAACTGAGATAGTGCCACTGCACCCCAGCCTGGGCAACAGAGGGAGACTGAGACTGCCTCAAAAAAATAAATAAATAAAAAACACTCAACCCAAACCAAAAAAAAAATCTCAAATCAAATGGACCTAGCAGCTCATGGCTGTAATCCCCAGCACATTGGAAGGCGAAGGCAGGAGGATCCCTTGAAATCAGGAGTTTGAGATGAGACTGGGGAACAAAGTGAGACCCCCATCTATTTTAAAAAAAGAAAAAAGCTGGGCATGGTGACACACACCTGGAGTCACAGCTAATGACAAGGCTGCAGTGAGCTATTATTGTGGCACTGGACTCCAGCCTGGGTGACAGAGCAAGGGTGTCTAAAAAATAATAAAAGTTTTAAATCCCATAGATGAATCTTTTTGACTTTTATTTTTTATTGTTTTCTAGTGTGCAGCCCACTTCAGTGCCAGCAGGCTACAGGCAGAGGCCAGGCAATGGTTCGGGGCTACAGTTTGATCTGGCATGGGGTACTATGAGAGGCCCAGGGGGACGGACCCATCATAAATCCAAACCCATGCATTGTTTTAAATTTATTTATTTTGGACCAGACACGGTGGCTCATGCCTGTAATCCCAGCACTCTGGGAGGCGGATCATCTGAGGCCAGGAGTTCGAGACCAGCCTGGCCAACATGGTGAAACCCCATCCCTACTAAAAATACAAAAATTAGCTGGGCGTGGTGGCTCGCGCTTGTAATCCAGCTACTTGAGAGGCTGAGGCAGAATTGTTTGAACCTAGGAGGCAGAGGTTGCAGTGAGCTGAGATCACACCATTGCACTCCAGCCTGAGTGACAAGAATGAGACTCCGTCTCAAAAAATAAAAAATAGCCGGGCGCGGTGGCTCAAGCCTGTAATCCCAGCACTTTGAGAGGCCAAGGCGGGTGGATCACCAGGTCAAGAGATCGAGACCATCCTGGTCAACATGGTGAAACCCCGTCTCTACCAAAACTACAAAAAATTAGCTGGGCATGGTGGTGCGTGCCTGTAATCCCAGCTACTCAGGAGGCTGAGGCAGGAGAATTGCCTGAACCCAGGAGGCAGAGGTTGCGGTGAGCCGAGATCGCGCCATTGCACTCCAGCCTGGGTAACAAGAGTGAAACTCTGTCTCAAAAAAAATAAATAAATAAAAA